GGCGAGTTGAAGTGGAAAGGTGAGAAGTTTGCACCTAAATAAGCAGCTGCGGCGACAGAGCCGACCTCCCATCCCCGCAGGCTGTGCCAAGCCCCCAGCTCAGGTCCAGGCTCTCACCTGTGGCCGTTCGCAGGAACCGTCCCCTGCTTGCAAGAGGGACCACTTCGCTCTCCGCGTTCTACCTCCATGACCGCGTCGCACTTGCGCTTTGCTGGCACGTGTATTTGTCCAATGCTTCCACCTTGTTTCCCATGATGGGAGGCAAGAGAAAAATTGTTTTGTTGCCATCCCACTTTCTACAGCCCTAAAGGGGACTGAGACAGCTCTTGCTCCTGGCTGACCTCGCTCGCTGCGTCTCCCACCCGCCTCTTGCTGGCTTTGGCAGAGGGGCCCGTCTCTGGAGTTGGGACCCGTCCTTGCTGGTGTTGGGACCCGTCTCTGGTGTTGGGACCCATCTCTGGTGTTGGGACCCGTCTCTGGTGTTGGGACCCATCTCTGGTGTTGGGACCCGTCTCTGGTGTTGGGACCCATCTCTGGTGTTGGGACCCGTCTCTGGTGTTGGGACCCATCTCTGGTGTTGGGACCCGTCTCTGGTGTTGGGACCCATCTCTGGTGCTGGGACCCGTCTCTGGTGTTGGGACCCGTCTCTGGTGTTGCCTACGCCTTCGGCTGTCGGAAGCCAGAGGCGCGACGCCCGGTTGCTAATCCCCGCGGCACGGCGATGCGGGTGTGAGTAACACACGGACAGAACCGAGCTCTTGTAGGAAGACAATGTATTTATAAAACGTGGGGCAGAATCAGCATATCCCCCCAGTTGTAACAGAGAGGTGGCCCAGGAGTCGTCTTGAAGGCACAGCCTACGCCTTCGGCTGTCGGAAGCCAGAGGCGCGACGCCCGGTTGCTAATCCCCGCGGCACGGCGATGCGGGTGTGAGTAACACACGGACAGAACCGAGCTCTTGTAGGAAGACAATGTATTTATAAAACGTGGGGCAGAATCAGCATATCCCCCCAGTTGTAACAGAGAGGTGGCCCAGGAGTCGTCTTGAAGGCACAGAGCCACTTTAAGGCAGGTAATTCAAAGGTACAATTCAGATATTTAACACAAGGCATCGGTATCTAAAAAACAATCAACTTCAGACATCTATAGGCAACGAGAAGAGGCGAGATGTTCATACCAGGCAAACATTAAAGACAACGACAACTCACATTATCGCTTTCACACCACACATTTCTCTCAGAATCAAACCCAGCCCCTGTTTGTTCCCTTCGCTGACCTGCAAAAGAAGCCTCAGATCCACAGCTCACAGTCCTGAAGACGGAGTCAGCGTCTGTGGGCAGAGCCGCCTTGCCGTGCGCCCCGTGGCTGGGGGCCCGGGGTCCCAGCCTGGCCACGTCCTGCCCCAGGGAAGGTCCCTTCTGCGGCACGGCCCGTCATCTCCCCAGCTGCCCCCAGCCAGAGCTACCGGAGCAGCTCCCTGCTGCTGCCTGATGCACGAGAAATCCCGTGCAACCCATTTCCTCCTCCCGCCGAGGCAGGACACAGCCAGGATGCACACGGAGGCCAGAAACTCGGAGCAAACCTCACTGCAAACTCAGGCACGGCTTCCTGAAAAGATCCTGCTGACAGAAACGTGATGGACTCTCCGGGAGAGGCAGCTTCCCAGCCGTACTGAAGCCAGGTTCCCTCTCGCTCTCTGGGAGTCGTGCCAGACCCAAAGAGGTGCCCTCGTCACCGCATGGCTCCGGGGCTACGTGCTCCTGCCGTGCTCCCCGCTCTCCCCCTCTGCACGGCTCTGTTTGGGGAGAAAAACTGCAGGTTGGTTTGGAAGAGGGGCAGCAGCCTCAGAGCAAAGCCTGGTGCTGCTCTTGCTGGATTTGCTGCTGGGCAGCAAGCTGGGCAGCGTGTAGCCCCTTCTCTCCCTACAACCCACAGTGGTCTCTGAGCAAGTGGGCTGGAAGACAGCTTTTGTCCCCACAGGCTCTCTCCAAGCTCCTCCACGGAGGCTGCCAGCTAGTGCCGATCAGTATTAATCACGTTTACTACCCCAACACTTAAATACCAACTAAAAATCCCCACTGTGCTGGAAGGGGAAGAACATTTGTGACGGCAGCTCTGGCAGCGGGGATACTGGCCATCAGGAAACTGGGCTGAAACCCACTAACTCCTTACATCTCCACCCAAGGAGTCCTCATGAGGTAAACAGTTCTGCTTGCCGCTGGCCTGGGTTACAAGGCGTGCAGGAAGGAGCCCAGTCACAGTTAAAGCACGGAGGTGAAATCCCCAAATTCTGCTGGCAGTGCTGGGGTGCGGGCTACACCCTGCTTTCCAGTCCACTCTTTGCTGACTGTCCTCTGTGGTGAGGAAGAGGCGTTCCTGGTATTGTTTAAGCCAAGTGAGCTACCTTCTGGATGCAGTTAATTCTTGCCAGTGTCTGCAGATGAACACCAGCTGCTAACTTTCGGTGCTGCAGACCACATCTAAGCCAGATATGAAAGCACACGGTACCAATAACCCCTCTTCCCTGTGCACGACGTGAGAGCCGCCACCGAATCCATCAGCTCTCCGTCTGCAAAATGTGCATCGAGCCGTTCTCTGCCAAACAGCTGGGTCCTGCTAACGCCCTGCCGCGTCCCGGCGCTCGCCCCCGC